CCCTCCCCCACCCCCCCCCCCCTCCCTCCCGCCCCCGAGCACCGCAACATCGAGCTTTTCTTCTAAGCCTTCCCAACTCGGCGTCGTCACTCACTCACGTACATGCCAACACGCTCTTGTCGGCCATCCCCGCGCTCACATCACCCGCCGCACACACGCACACATGTACACGTCCGCGCGCACATGTACACGCGCGCTTTTATGTACGTACGACAGGCCACGGCATCGGGGCGTTTATTATGTATATAGGCAGAGGGACATACATTACTTTGTACATAAACAGGTATACACATACATACATAAATATACACACACCAACACACACACAACACACACACACACACAACACACACACACACACACACACACGCACACACGCACACACACACAATTCCCTACACACAAACTGGCAGACACACCTTCTCCGCGCCCATCACACTCTTTCACACACTTCCACATACGCCCGAAGAAACGCATGCCACACCCTCCATCCATGCCAGCCAGACGAGGTGAGTGTCATATATTGACATGTGACAGTTACTGCTACTTCCCATGTGATGCCGTAACATACACTTATATCGACCTCCACTGAGCGCTCGACTTCCCCCCCCCACACACACACACCTCCCCCCACCCCCCAGATCGCTCTCGACAGCGCGGCCGATCACCACCATCACCATCCTCATCACACGACGCACCATACCCTCTCACCACACCACACTTGTCGCCCTCACCATAACGCGAGAGTGAGCTCCTGTCACCATATTTTCGTGTGGTATGTTAACCACTATCACCTCACCACAACGTCACAATACGATGTAAACTTACCATAACCACCACAGTTGTCACAGAGGGAAGCGTTTCAGATTTTCTACCCGGATAAAAGGTCGAGAAAGTGGAAGAGGAAGGAGAAGAGGCTAGAGGAAGGAAAAGAGGAAGAGGAAGGGGTGGGAGATATAGAATACTAGGGGGAACAGCAGAAGGAAGGAAGAATGAAAAAATCAGGAGGGAAAGGAGGCTGAGAAGAAGAAGAAGGAAAAGAAAAAAGGAAGACGAGAAATCAACCGATACGGAGACGCAGTAAGACGAGGAAGAGGAAGAGGACGAGAAATAGGAAGAAGAGACGGATACTGAGGATGATCTTCCATCCTCTTCCTTTCCCTGGGCGACCCGACGGCATCCCGAGTGCGTCTTGGAAACGGGAGGAGGTGGAGCTGGAGGAGGAGGAGGAGGAAGAGGAAGGAGAAGAGGAGAAGGAGGACGAGGACGATGAGGATGATGATGACGATGACGAAGGTAGATAAGGGATAATAACAATGATGGTGATACCGATGACGATGCCGATGATGATGAAGGAAAGGAAACGTGGCGTCAGCAGGGATCCATTTACTTAAATGTGAAGTAAGTCTGACCTCACGGAAGCGCGTGTCACTGCATACGCAAACCTATACTGAACTCAGAGACCATCCGAAATACGATGTTTTCTACTATTATCTATCCATTTCTTCTCTCTCACAAAAGTGCAACAAAATCCCGGCCTGGTTCCCCCGCGACCCCTCCGCCAGGCCGTTTGCAACAGCCGCTCCTTGCAACGAGACGGGATCATCTCCCCAGAAGGTCCTATGCCCAGCGCGGGAATGCAATCGGCGATGCAGCGAAGCTATCGTCAGGAGGGGAGAGCACGGTCCGTTTCCCCTCAACTCGAAGGACGTGGCAAGGGTCGCCCGCCGCCCCTCGTCCACGCCCTCGCTCTCTCGCCGCCCCTCACCCACGCCCTCGCCTCTCGCCGCCCCGCCCATCGCTCTCTCGCCATCCACGCCCGTGCACGAGCCACACTTGCAAGGTTGGCATCCTGTTGCAACAAGGAATGTGGCTCCGAGGGCGTCCGTTGCACAAGGAGGTGTCAGTGGGTCGCGGGCGTCTTGGGAAAATGTCTCCGTTCATGAGACAGCGAAGGAATGAGGAGATGATGATGAAGGGAATGAAGCAAAGGGAGATGAGGCAGGAGAAGAGGAGGAAGAAAAAGCAGGGAGAAAACAGGGAAATTGGTTCAGGGAAGAACTGAGACGGAGATGATGATCATTGGCATGAAGCAAATGAAGATAAAGCAGGAGGTGATGAAGAACAAAAGGCAGGTATGTGTCGCGGAAAAGGAAGAGAGGAAAAAAGAAAACGACGAGGAAAAAAGGAAGATCAAGAAGAATAAGAAAACGAAGAAGACCAAAACAACAACAACAAAAGAGAAAAATGAAAGAAATAGGAAAAGTGACGGCGAAAACCAAACACTCCTTTCAGATCCTTTAATTTGCCAAAGACTAATAAAGGCAAAAAGAAAGAAAGAAAGAAAAAGAAAAGAAAAGGAAAAAAAAGACACGGGATCTCATCTCCAGCTATAAGTCCACCTCTGGATATTCTACATCAAAGATCCCCGTGCCTTTGCCCGCTCTTTCGGCCCGGGCGCAGCGCCGGTAAAAAGGGGGAGGGAAATGCGAAGAGGATATAGAGATAAAGGAGGGGGATAAGGAGGAGGAGGTAAGAGAAGGAAGAGGAAAAGGAGGAGGAGGAGGAGGAAAGAGAGGAAAAAGGAGAGGAGGTGGAGGTGGAGGAGGAGGAGGAGGTAAGTGAAGGAAGAGGAAAAGGAGGAGGAGGAGGTAAGAGAAGGAAGAGGAAAAGGAGGAGGAGGTGGAGGTAGGAGAAGGAAGAGTAGGTGGGAGAAGGAGGAGGGGAGGAGGAAGAAGAGGAGTAGGAGGGGGGAGAGAAGAGAGAAGAGGAAATAAGAATAGAAAATAGAAAAAGGAAGCAAAGATAAAAGCGAAGAAAAGAAAAAGAAAAGAAAAACAAACAAACGGGAAGCCATCCCTTCGCCCTGACGCCACATCCAAAGAAACAACGGAGACAGCAACACCCGAACGGACACGCGCACAAAATCCCCCTCCTCCTTCAGGGAATTCGGACGGGGCCGCCTCACCATCTGCGCCTCTGCAACAGCACCCAATTAGTCGCCATGAAACCCCCTCCGCTGTCCTTCGCTCGCGGGGGCTCCTCCGGCTCCCTCGGCGGCGGGGCGGCGCGGAGGGCGAGGCGGCGCTCACTGATTGGGATTGGGCGCTGCTAATCGCGGGTCGCACGGGCAGTCACGTGACCCACGCTGTCGCCATGCGCTTCTTGCGATAAGAGCTCGAGTCACTGACAGGCTGCGGATTATTTTCTGGATTTATGTTGATATATATATATATATATATATATATATATATATATATATATATATTATATATATATATGTATATTATATATATATAATACATATATATACATATATATATATATATATATATACATATATATATATATATATATATATACATATATATATATATATATGTGTATGTGTGTGTGTGTGTGTGTGTGTGTGTGTGTGTGTGTGTGTGTGTGTGTGTGTGTGTGTGTGTGTGTGTGTGTGTGTGCGTGTGTGTGTGTGTGTGTGTGTATATATGTTATATGTATATATATTTTTTTTTTTTTTTTCTTTGTTGTTGTTGTTGTTGTTGTTGAATCGGATTTAGTTATGCATCTCTGTATTGTCTGTTTGTCTACCTATCACCCATCCATCCATCTATCTATCTATCCACCCATCTGAAGCAGAATAAAAGCAGACAGCATGTCACAGCAAAGATTATCCATTGTAACAAAGGGAATTGAAACTAATTGATCTGATCACCCCACGTCCCCCCCCCCCCCACGTCCCACGCCGCCGCTCGCTTCCCAGATTTTCATCTACCGGCGCCTCGGCCTCCGCTGGGCTGCCCGCATCTCCTCTCCTTGTGCCAACTCCTCCACTGATGCTGCTTCTCCTCCTTCCTTCGCCTCTCATTCTCTTTCCTTCTTTCTCCTCTTTCCTTTCTTTCATTGTCTAACCCTCTTACTTGACTTGTCTTGCCCTCTTTTCTCCTCTCCTTTCTTCGTTCTTCGTCATTCTACTTGCACCCTACTCTTCGTCTCCCTTTTCCGTCTCAAGAGTCTTCCCTTCCTCGCCTCCCATCCTTTTCTTCATCCTCCTCTCCTCCCCGCCTTTATCTTCATCCCCCACCTCTTCGCTCCGCTCTCCTCCCCTATCTTCATCCTCCTCCCCTTTTGCCTGCCTCCCTTTCCCTCTCCTCACCCTGCTCTCCCCCATTTAGACCCTCCCCTCCTTATCCCTATCTTCATCCTCTTCTCCCCCCTCTCCACTCCCCTCCCCGCCCCCACCGTGCTCAGGCGAGTTGCAGGAGGATGGTATCCGCGCACAAACCAGGCGTGACATGTGGGGAGCAGCAGCGTGATAAATAATGGCCCGACGGCTGCCGCATACGCACACGCACACACACACGCACACGCACACATACATGCATGCGCACATGTACGCACCTATACCCACCCACATCCACCCAAACTCACATTAAAACGCACACACACACACACATACATATGCATGCGCACATGTACACACCTATACCCACCCACATCCACTCACACTTACATTAACACATACACACACATACTTGCATGAGTACATGTAATTAACACAGACAAACACAAATACATCGAAGGCACATGCAGACACAGCCATAAACAAACACACATTCAATACACACCTACACACCCTACACAAACGCACACAAACCCTACGTGCACACATCTGGCGAATCCACACACGCATACACACGTACACATACACAGACACGTACTCGGCCACAGGCTGACCCCCTGCCTGTCTGTTCTGACTACTTGTTCCCCTGCCATTCACTCGAATTCGGAGAGGAACGAGGGAGGAGCGAGAGGAGAGGAGGGAGAAGGGAGAGGGAGAAGAAGGGGAAGAGAAAGAAGAGGGAGAAGGGAGGGAAGGGAATGGGAGAAGGAGAAGGGGAGGGAGGGAGAGAGATAGAAAGGAAGAGAGAGAAAGGGAGAAAGAGAGCAGCTCGCTCTCTACGTGTCATTCCGCCTACAAAAATCTCTCCACTAAAATGGAAAAGAGAAAATCCGCAACGTCAGCACCCACACAGACACCCACACCCGCGCCACACCTCCAGCACCCACACTCCCCACCCACGCCACACCTCCAGCACCCACACAGACACCTACACTCCCCACCCACGCCCACGACGCACCTCCAGCACCCACCCAGACACCCGCGCCCACGACACACCTCCAGCACCCACCCAGACACCCACGCCCACGATACACCTCTAGTACCCACCCAGACACCCACGCCACGACGCACCTCCAGCACCCACACACACCCACGCCCACGATACACCTCCAGCACCCACACAGACACCCACGCCCACGATACACCTCCAGCACCCACCCAGACACCCACGCCCACGATACACCTCTAGCACCCACACAGACACCCACGCCCACGACGCACACCCACACAGACACCCACACACCCCACCCACGCCCGCACATCCCCGGGCAGACGGGCGAGTGCATGGGGCTGAGCATGAGTCAGTTCCCCCACAAGGCACCACTCCGCGCGCCGTGTTATTTAATCATGCACCAGCCAGGGGGCCGCGGGAAGGGGAGAGGGGGAAGGGGGGTTGGGGGAGGGAGGAGGGGAACCGAGGAAGCGGGGTAGGGAATAGGTAGAAGAGGAGGAGGAAGAGGAGAGAGAGAGAGAGAGGGAGGGAGGAGGGAGGGAGGGAGGGAGGGAGGGAGGGAGGAAGGGGAGAAGGAAGGATATATATATATATATATATATATATATATATATATATATATATATATATAGAGAGAGAGAGAGAGAGAGAGAGAGAGAGAGAGAGAGAGAGAGAGAGGAGGCGGATAGACAGAAAATAGAAACGAAAGAAGTGGAAGGGAAAGACAAAACGACAGAGGTGGAAGGGGGAGATGGAAAGACGAGGGCTCAGCAAGGGATTTTGTGGAAGGAAAAAGGCAGAGAAGGAAGAGGAGGATTAGAAGAAGGGAAGAAGGCAGAATGCAGGAGGCAAAGGAGAAAGAGGAGGAGGGGGCAGAAGAAGAAGGAGGCAATGGGAGGGAGAGAAAGAGGGAGTAAAAGGGTTGAATAGGGAAGAAGGAAAGGAAGGAATGGAAAAAGAAGGAGAAAGATTGGGGCTCTGAAAATGAAATGAGGAAGAGAAAAAAAGGAGGACGAAGAGAGAGTAGGAGGGAAAGAAAGGATGAGCAGAGACGAAGAAGGAGCAGGGAAAAGAGGAAGATGGAAGAGGAGAGAGAGAGAAGAGGATGAAGAGGGAGGAGAGAAAAGAAGAGGCAAGAAGAGGAGGAAGGAAGAGGATGAGGAGGGAGGACGGAAGAGAGCAGAGGGACCGAAGGAGGGGAATGACACGCCGTGGAGCGCTCAATGTCACGACGTCGAAGGAATATGAAGGATGCGCCGATAAAGTAAATTGCTTTTTGCTCTGGATTTATTTCCTGTTTTTTCGGATTTTCTTTTCTCTTCTGTGGTTTCCTTTCTCTTCTCTTCTGTGCAGTGTGGTCGCCTTCCTCTTCTCTTTTCATCCCTTCTCACTCCCTCTCTGTTTATCTGTGTGCGCGCGCGCGCGTGTGTGTGTGCGTGTGTCTGTCTGTCTGTCTGTCTGTCTGTCTCCTTCCCTCCCTCTTTATCGTTCTTTCATTTCTCTTTTTCTCTTCTCTTTCTCTTCCCTCATGCAAAGCAAGGTCTGCCAAGAGCAGAGCGCCAGATGGCAACAAATACATTCGTCTCGGAGATAGACGCTTTAATATCTCGTATTGACAAAGAGTGAAACGATGGGCATGCTATGTGCTGGGAGGGGGGGGGGGCAAGGGGACATAAGTGTCATGGATTGAGAATTCAGGTGAGAAAGAGAGAGCCAGAAGAGAATGGAAGAGAAGTGAAGAGAAGAGAAAAGAAGAGAGAGGGGAGAGAGAGAGAGAGAGAGAGAGAGAGAGAGAGAGAAGAGAGAGAGAGAGAGAGAGAGAGAGAGAGAGAGAGAGAGAGAGAGAGAGAGAGAGGATGCAGAAGCAGCGCGTCCACGCGTAAGTGTACGTGCAGGCGCGCGCGCGCACAGGTGTCAAGGCCGCCTCGGGCCGCATGAACTCCCGAGTGTAAATACAGCTTAACGTTAACGCATGAATAATTCCCGCGGCACCTGGGCGGCCGCCGGTGGCCGTGTGAATATGCTAATGAGGCGGACGCGACCGCCTCCGGAGGCGTCTGCCGCACGCGGCAACGGCCCCCGCTCAGCTGCCCTTTTACAGCGCTCTCTCTCTCTCTCTCTCTCTCAAAGTCTTCCGCAGTCCGGCAATCTCTCTCCTAAACTTAGTCTGCCCGCCGCAACTTCCCTCCCTCCGCCCTCCCTCCATTCGGCTTCCCTCCCCTGTCCCCCACCCCGCCAGCCTCCCTCCGCCTCCCCGTCCCTCGCCGGCGGAGCACCGGGGGCCATCGGCGTAGAGCGCCGCCGTGTCTGCCGTGACAAGCGAGCGACATTACGCCTCCTCGCGTGCCTTCCGCAGTTCTTCCGCTCCGCCGCGTCCCGCCCTCTCATCAGCGGCGCAATGGCGACTCTTGCGCGCTGCACGGATTCCCGGCCGTGCCTCGGCGCCGGGGATCATGCATGCAATGGCCTCCTGTTCCCCGGCCACGCTCTCTCGGGCCCCAGGGGACGGCGGGGCGGCGAGGGCGGAGGAGAGAGGACAGAGGAACGGGGGAACGGAACAGTGTCCGGCGACGGCGGAGATATAGCAAGGCTGAGAGAAACAAAGCAAAAGAGAGAGGGAGATAGATTGTTAGATAGACAAGTAGATTGATCCATCGATCGATTGACAGATAGAAAGAGCTAGAAAAAAATAGAAAGATCCCCACCAAAAAAGCGAAAGGGAGATAAGAAAAAGAGGAAAAGGGCCCCCCCCCAAAAAAAAAAAAAAAAAGAAAAACCCTACGAGACAAGCAAAAGCGAAAGAGCGACCGACGAGTTATTAATGCGACCGAGAGCTGCCGAGCGCGCGGTGCGGACGGAGTTTAAAAGAAATATTTATAAGTGTGTGTGACGGTTCCCCCGGGAGCGTGTTTACCTCCGGGCCCTGACTGTGCATGCATAACGCCGCGGACATTGCTGGCGGGGGGCGCGAGGGGAGGGGGCGTGAGGGGGGAGTGGGTAGGAGCGGGGAGGTAGGGGGGAGGGGGTAGGGGATAGGAGGGGAGAGGGAGGGGGTGGGGGTAGGAGCGGGGAGGGAGGGAAGAGGAGGGGAAAGGAGGGCAAGGAAGGGGAAGGAGTAGGGGGTGGGAAGAGAAGAGGAAGGGGGAGGAAGAAGGAAGGAGGGTAAGGAAGGGGGAAGAAGAAGGGAAAGGGAAATGAAGGGGGGGGGGAGGAGCAAAAAGGAGGGAAAAGGGAGTAGAGGGATGAAAGAAAGAAATGGGAGAGATGAAGGAGGTGGAGAAGCGGGAAGGAGCAGAGGAGGGGATGGGAAGGGGTTGGGTGGAGGGGGCGAGCTCTGGCGTCCGCACCGGTGTTTTGATTGATGGTCTTGAGAGAATCCTACGCTCTCTCTCTCTCTCTCTCTATCTATCTCCCTCTCTTTTTCTCTCTATCTCACACTCTCACTCTTCCTCTTACTCTCACTTCTCTTCCTCTTCCTCTCTCTCCCCTCATCCTTCCCCCTCCCCTTAACACCATCTCGCTTTCGGTCGATAATCACCCAACATTTATAAAACAATATATGAGAAATATAACGAATTTTGTTAGTTGGTGCCTCTTTATCCGGAAATTATTCACTCCTGGATGAAGCAACAATAGAGGAGAGGTCGATGGGGTGTGAGAACAGCTGGTAGAAGCGCAACATTTTGACCGGCGTGTGTGTGTGCGCGCGCGCGCGTGTGCGTGTGCGTGTGTGTGTGTATGTGTGTGTGTGTGTGTGTGTGTGTGTGTAGTGTGTGAGTGTGTGTGTGAGTGTGAGTGTGTGTGAGTGAGTGGTGTGTGTGTGTGTGTGTGTGTGTGTGTGTGTGTGTGTGTGTGTGTGTGTGTGTGTGTGTGTGTGTGTGTGTGTGTGTGTGTGTGTGTGTGTGTAGTGTGTGGTGTGTGTGTGTTGTGTGTGTGTGTGTGTGTGTGTGTGTGTGGTGTGTGTGTGTGTGTGTGTGTGTGTGTGTGTGTGTGTGTGTGTGTGTGAGCGTGAGAACTTTGCGTGTGGCGTGTGCGTCCGTGCACGCGTGAAAGTAAGTCCGCACATACGATCTCTCCTAATTGCCCGAACGGCCGCCCGTGTGTGCGCGTGTGCGCCGGCCCGTGTGCAGGCCGGAGCAGCAGCCAGCATTTACATGTGTAATAAATCTTGGGAGCGAAGCGAGCAGCAGGAACGTGTGGCCAGATATGAGGTAGCTGAAGGGGGGAGAGGGCAGGGCCACACGGGGGAGGGAGAGGGGGCCAAACGAGGGGAAGGGGGGGGGGGGACACAGAGACCCTAATGTGTTGCTCCGCGCAAGAGTGACACGCGCAAACACGGGCCATCACACACACGAGGAGGAAAAGACACTCGAAAACACGTCGCGGTCTGCGCATAAGGATAAATTCCAAACACACACAAAAAGGGAAAAAAGGTCCCCCAAACAGTCCCTAATCTCCCTCGACGCTCGACACATCACTTATTCACATCGGAACCTGCGTGACCACCGATTCCCAATCCCCCTCTCCCCCTTTCCCCTCCCCTCCCCCTTTTCCGTCGGCGCCTGCTCCAGGAGGGATGACAGAAGACCCCTTCACGGCAAAAATGATAATAGAAAATAATATTGGTAAAAAAAAGATTACGGTCGGCCATTGGGTAAATGCTCGTCTACTTTGACTTTCTCCCGGATGACTGAAAGGCTCGCGTGAGGGACCCTGCAGCGCGCACACACACTCGCCCTGCCACGGTGCCGCTGCAGAGGACGTCAGGCAGGGGCGTGCATGACCCCGGTATGACCAGCAGTCCCCCCACTCCCCCTGTGCCTCCCCGTCTCCTTCTTTCATCTCTCTCTCTTTCTCTCCTTCCCATTCTTTCCTCTCCCTCGCTCCTTTGCCTTCTCCCTCTTTCCTTTTTCTCTCTAACTTTCTTCGTCCATTGCCTCCCCCCCCCTCTCGCTCTCTCTCTCTCTCTCTCTCTCTCTCTCTCTCTCTCTCTCTCTCTCTCTCTCTCTCTCTCTCTCTCTCTCTCTCTCTCTCTCTCTCTCTCTCTCTCACCTTCCAAACACGACCTGGTCTTCTGCCCTAATGGTGTCATTGCTAGACGTCTCGCCTGTATTTTCTTCCTTCTCCCCTTTCTTTCTTTGCTTGGTTATTTCTTTTTGGTCTTCTCCTTTATGCCGCCTCCTCTCTCTCTCTCTCTCTCTCTCTCTCTCTCTCTCTCTCTCTCTCTCTCTCTTCTC